GCCAGGTCCCACGGACCTGGAGTTTTGGCCAGATGTACAACAGTGTGCTGAGGCTGTCCTTGGGGGGCAGGGAGACTGCCGGGTACAGCAATGGTCCCCTGCTTTGCTTCAATACGGAGCGCACCACCCACCTAAACAACAGGCCACAAACCCGTCCTGGAAAAGAAGGCAAGGTTATTTGACCTCATTAGGACAATTAAAAGCTCCTTTGCACTAGGCAAACATACCATTCCACAGTGAGTAATGCAAAGACAAACACGTTTTGGTTAAGGAAAAATGTCCCATAATTAAATATTTTTCAAACCATGCATGCAGTCACAGTGTAAACTTTTGAAGCCTAAATTCCGTCTTCAAAAACGATTTTTGCATTGAAAAAGTTCTCTCTTTGGTATTGGGGGGCGGGGGGAGAGAGACAAACTCAAGAGGGACTTCCTCGCTGGAGAAAGACTTGGAAACCCCCCAGAGCTAAACCAAAAGCAGTCAGCTTGGCCAGGAGTCCTCCGGCTTTCCCCTTGCTATTATTAAGGATCCTTCTGTTTGACTAAGAATTTCTCCACCTCTCACAAGCCATCATTTCTCTTTCTGTGTCCAGAAAAACCCGAAAACCATGTGTTTATAATGAGCCTGTTGCTATGCAAATGATTAGAACACATTACAAAAATCTTTCCTTTGAGTCAGGGGAAGATGAACTGCTGGAGCAGGAGTCCCTTCACTGAACAGAAGAGCTGGCAACAAGGACTGTGAGAAGCAAAGCAAAATGTGGGCGGGGGGCGGGGGGGACATACGGCGGTTCCATCTCCGGTGTCGTTTTAAGCAGAGGTTTCGGGAAAATGAACATCTGCAAAGCCCCAAGGTAACATGTTCTCAGCAGCCTGGAGTGGGGTTGACAAACTTAAGAACCTTTTTCATTCCTAAGGGGTCACAACTCATCCTCCCTCCGTCCACTACCATGCCCTCTGCACCAGCTGCTTCACGCTTCTCCAAGAATGTCAAGAGACTTTTTTCCTTTTCTGTGCACTCCTGTGTGTATTCTCCTTTTGGTATCTTTTTTCCTGTCCTTCAGTTACCACCTAAAACGAGGGCCTGATTTGTCCATTGCTCCTCCAGCTCAATCATGGTATCTTGGCCGACTTCCATCACTTAATGAAGAGATTTGTTCTTCAAAAGTCATACCCAGGAGATGAGAGGAGACACAGTATGTCAAGATTACTGTCAAAAACACAGAGCTTCTCAATTTTCTAATTAAAAAAAATCTGGTCTTAATCATTTTAACAAAGTGTCTCGCCTTCCTAGATAGTTTGCAAGCAACAACACTCACACATTTTCGTGGTGCTGTTCTGTATGGCTTACTAATCTGCACATTTTCAAGGGCGGGACTGCCTGGGGACAAGAAATGACAACACATGCCTCTTAATCTTCCTTTCACCCCCATGTGCCTTAATATATATGGGTTCACACACACATCAAACAAACAAACGGACAAAAACCCAGAGTCTTAGCTCTAAACTCTCTCTCTGTACTCAGAAGGAAGAAGAGGCTGGTCCCGAAGAAGGCTATAGAACCTGTTTTACCATCCAATAGAAGCGGCCAAACCATTGCAAACATGTGTTGGATAAAAACAAGTCTGGTTGGCTCCAGACAAAGGCTTATTTTTTAAGCACAGATGGTTGAATGGTTGCCTCCTCCAACGGGCTGCCCACAATGAAAGACAGATTTCTGTGTCTAATCTATGCAAATATCTTCCTCCGTGGGCACCACAAAGACTAACTGTTTTGTGTCCGACGTGGCAGATCCCAGGTGTTCTCAGATGCCAAGGCCCATCTCCCACCTGAGATGCCGGTAACCCGGGTAACAGCGGATGGCTGGAGAATTAGTCACCAACCCTCCTCCTTCCCTGAAACATCCCTCTGAAATCCCGCCCCGCAGCCTCGGCTTCTCCTTGGCTGCTCTGCCTGGAAGACAGTTTCAACGTTCAGATGGAACCCCAGATGCTTCTAAAACCTCCCAGGGCAGCTCAGATTCCTGCCCCACCCCGCACAAGAAGGCTCCTAAGACTCAGCAGTACTCTTCACCTTGAATTCAGCTCATCTATTCGTCTCTAACATCAAACCCAGAAACCTCCAGCACTTAAAAACGTGCTTCTGTCCCAACCAAGGCTCCATACTCCACCGTCTATGTGCCTGCTGCCCACAGCAGGTCACGCTGTGTCACACCTGAGTCATTGCTGGTGACCTCCGGCCTTCCCGAGTGCGTGCTATTCCCTTCTTCCGTCCTTTCTTTCTCTACAAATTTGCCTTTCTTTACCTATAATACTTTTCTCTCTCATTTCTCCATTTCCCCAGGTGTAGTCTTTGATTTGCTCCGACCCCCTCCTGAGTGCAATCCAGTTTCAAGACCCCTGAGGGCAATAAAAATTCCTGCAATGCTGAATCACTCACACACACACACACACACACACACACACACACACACACACCACACTCCTCCTGCAAACCCAGCTCCTAACTTTAAATATCCCTTGTCATAAAAAGAAGGTCATAGCTGAAATCTACATAGTTTAGTCTTAATGTTTAAGTCTAAAAATGCCCTCCAAAGTTTTAACTTACTTTGTTAGTTTTTCTGAGCAAACGACAGTAATACAGTTTGCTTCAGAATCCTGTGTCGGGAAATACTCTGCCCCCCACCCCCCTTATTAGAATTCTTCTTAAACAAACCAAACTAACTGAACAAGAAGAAATTCTAAAGGAACTGTGAGGGAAGGGTAAGAAAAAAGAAAGAAATTCTAAAGGAAAAAAAGTGCACCTAATCTCCAGCCTCAACCACCATCACCACCAAAAATGTTTGCTCTTTCCCTCAAATTTTGAGGTGTAAACAGTTTTTGCTTTGTTTCAGCTTATGGATGCATACATTGACAGTCAAATAATGCAGGGCTAATTTTACTTACCTGGAAAATCTAAAACTGCACAGAGCTTTAGAGATTAACAAATTTATTGATTCCCAAGTATGGATGAACATCGGAACCACCTGAAGAATATACTTTATTTTAAACAATACATCTTCCTGACCCCTAGCCTCAGATATTCCCATTCAGACTTCTGGGACAGCCCTAGAATCCATATTTATAATAAAACCCCAGGTAACTGGAGATAGCAGGTCCTGGTCTGTTTAAAGCAGCTGGTCTCCTGCAACATCTTACCCAATATGGCGGCCAGTACACCGCCATCCACTCTAGGCCACTCGCTTCCAGACTCCGTGGCTCTTGCCTTCTGACACGTCTGCTGGTTGCACTTTTAGATGGATTTTATTATTATTGTTGAGACTGTGGTCTTATGTTCAGCCAAGCAACCAAAGTCTCTCAACTGCGTGAACTTCCCTCGCCATCAGCCCTAATTCTGTGCTGCAGAGCAGCAGCAGGATCCCTTGCCCACAAGCCTTCAACCATCCTCAGGCAGCTACTCCACCTGCCCAAGTCTTCGCTTTTCTGAACAACCTGGTTCTTCTAAATTCAGGAAACACATTCCCTGAGTGCTTCACCATTTCAACTGCTCTTCTACCACAACGGACCTCACAGAATAATACCGTCTGAGGTAACAACAACACTTCGTTTTCTTTATCACAGACAACTTTTCCTCAGCGTGCATTAATTTATAGTCCATGTTGCAGTCTTGTTGCTCATTGCTTTGCATTTAATGGCCCAAGAGCCACGGATCAGCAAGTACTTGTTGACCTAACGCTGTGTTCCTAGCTGCGTAAGGCACTCAGCAAGGATTCAAAAGCCAGAAGAAATCGTCCAACTTTGAGGTGTAAATAATTTCTTGTACAGAACAGCCTTAGATAAGTGGAATAACTTGAACAGTGGATGACAGTATATAACCAAGTACTGCCAGTAGATGAAAGACTGAACACAGGTGTTCTGGGTCGGACTGTGAGCTAGCCCATGGCCTCTGTTGATATAAATGCCACCTATTTAAGTGATGCTTTCTTATTTTAAAACAGATGGAAGCTATTACCTCAAAATGTATATAAAAAGTTGCACGTACCTCATTTCAGAAACTCAAAACCTAAGAAACAACAGGTGCAATAACCAAGTCGAACACTGTTCCTTCCTTCCTTCCCCACAGCAGGCCACAGGCATGGCCCCCAAGCACTCTGAGTGCCGTGTGTGACCCAAGAAAAAGGTAAACATCAGAGAGTTTCTGCAATTCCCTTCATTACTGAAAATGACCATTTGATGAGGAGACACACCACTCCACAGCACATTTTAGTGAAAAACTCTTACCACCCAGTGAACCATACACACACCAACAAAAATGCAGTTCTTTCCTTCATAGAATCGCAGACTATCAAACCATGAGGAAGTTATCCAAATCCCTCTCTTTACAGATGAGAGGGAAATGCCATTTCAAAGGTGGAAGGCGATGCTCTTCAGGCTGAAGCAGCCAATGAGCAGGAAGATGGGACCAGTGCACGGGTGGGTCTCCCCTCCACCGCTGGCTTCCCGCACCCTCTCATTTATCCGCGGACAATGAGAACTCACCTTCTCAACGTTTTCCTCAACTCTACGCCCATCCTCAGTTACCATCTCGATCCTCAAATCCAAAGACTGAAGGTAGGTTTTGTTTGGGGACATTTTGAGGGAAAGAGTAGCCTAATCAGTAAATAGGGGGCCAATTTTTTATTCAAGTCTAGCGTATTTTACCCACAGTCTCCAACAAATATGCCCACGCTGCTAGACACAAAATTCTCCCCGGCGCACTAGCAACGTACGGAACTGCCGGGCTTAGCTATTCGGCTTCAATCAAAAATCCTAAAGCTGAAAAGCAGCTGGTAAAGAACCTCCATCTACGGCATCCTCTTCCCCAATACACACCACACACACACACACACACACACACACACACACACACACACACACCTAAATCAACCAGCTCTTCCACTCCAGCTGACGCCTTGCAGTTCACCCACACCCTCGTGCGGAATGCGGAAAAAAATGCTCCTACCTTGTGGCCTCTTGCTGCAGCCATGACACATTTGGCACATAGAACATGACTCCGAAGAAAAGCAGAGGCTCATTAGCGAATTTGTCCAGATGTTTCTTCAGAGGTTTCTCCAGCTCCACCCATCGTGCTTGCTGGCTCTTGCTGAGAAACCAAAGGCCAAAGTAGTGCGTCTAGATGAGAGGGGAAAACAGCATCAGTTCCTGCTCGCGAGGGCCTTCCCGAGACCACACAGGAAGCTAGGCTCCTGCGTCTCACGCCACCTTGGGCTCCCCAGCCCAGACACAAGGGTTTGGCTTTTACTTTCTAACTTCAGGACATTAAAAAGAAACCACATGTACAGAACAGTGTGATCTACACGGAGCATCCAGAGGCAGCACCCACCCCCATAGTGGCTGTGTGTGTGGGGGGTGGGTACCAATGTACCCCGGTTAGGTAAAGGGGGTGGAGACCATGCTGACTTTTCCCCTAAGATCTCCAGGCGGACTTTCCAGTGGCTTCTGAGTGCCCCATGATCTCACACGGAGCCTGCTGGCAAAGGCAAACCCGCCGTTCCTGCACCTGCTGTGAAGTAACCGATCACACAACGAAGACAGAACCTTCTGCCAAGCGAAAGCTTCCACAGAGTAGAGTATTTTCATCCAGTACCAGAGTTTCACTGAAAACTGATTCCCTCCTTTTGAGCTTTAATGGAGTCCTTAAAAAAACATCACCTTGACCACTTCATTTCACACGAGCTGCAGCAAATCTCTCCCCCATATCAAGCTTTCAGAGTGGAAGGGTCCCGTCTTCGCAGCTGCCACGGGGGCCCCCGGTGCTTGTCCTGGGCCGATTATGGTGGGATTTGATAGATGAAAGCGAGCTTTTCCCCTTTGGACTTGAAGCCTCACCCAGTTTCGTTCTGAACAACGTGCTAAATGATGAAAACAGGTGCTTTTAGGCACCCAGTCCTGTCTTCATATTAATTAATGCTCAGATTTCAGGATTAGCACTACAATCGCCACAAAATAGATCACTGCTTTTGAAGCATTCTTTTATATTTCAATTATAGCCTAGAATGCTTTAGAGCACACCTGGAAATCTGCCTTCAAAAGAATGTTTTCATTACCACGTTTCATTTCCAAAGGCATTCCTGTGCAGGCGCTCCCTCCAGCTGGCTGCCCGCTTCACGATGCCGAGGGCCCGCCACGCCGCAACGCTACCAAGGCCTGTTGTAAGTTTTCACTCTGACTTGACGAGAAAACCAGATGTGAAATTGCCTCCATCAGACCCAAATACGCTGCGGGATATTTTCAAATGACACTTTCAGGTGGGAGCAGCGACTTGACCTGCTTTCCTCCATGATGTTCCAAAGGGCAAGTTCACACCAGAAGTCTATGCATTTCTCGAGCAACAAAAATACAAGAGAGCCAAGGCGCTATTTCCATCCACTCAGACACACTTGCCTGAGTGAGTTCTGAGCCTGTTGTTCCTTTCCCAGCCTCAGCGAGTCCATGAGCTGTGCTGATGCGACTGACGATGCCGAGGAAGTGAAACGTGGGTGAGTCGCAGGAGACTGGCTTTGAAGTCAGTTTGTCTCCCAGCTCCTGCACTCACCACCTCAGTGCCTGCGGCCAAGTTACTGAGCCTCCCCACGTCTCAGACCTGTCTCATCTGTACAATGGGGGTGCAGGTTCCGAGGGGTGTAAACAAGATGATGCCGAATAACCGTACTCGTGGAGGACACATGTTAAGTAACCATTTCTGTTGCTGCTGCAGCTACTGCTACGATCATCATCATCATCGAGAAATAAAAGCTGGGAAGCCTGAAGAATCTTTCTCATCAGCCCTACTGGCATCCTCATGAACCACAGATTAGAAAACAGAGATGATCTGGCACTAGCTGAGAGAGGGCAAGCAAAAGTCGAAGCTGGAAAGCTTATCAAGGATGAAAATCTAAAAAGCATGAGGAAAAAAAGTCAAGAGGCGGTGCCTCCCCAGGACTTTCTTTACGGCCTCATTACAGGTGTTGGTGGGAAAGGGGCCATCACTCCGAGGCTGTCCGAGGGGGTCTATGACTTAGGCTCACACAAATCTCAAAGTGAGGTCATCTGGGTACTTAATAAAACATCTGGAAAGGGGCCAGGGCAGTTCTGCACTACACTGAGTGCCTTTAAGGAGCACAGCGCCGTAGAAGGGTATTTTGGATGGCTAGCAGTGAGTTTGCATATAATAAATGAGGTAATATATGGAAACAGGAATGTGCTATGTAATAATTATTTGAGTTGGAAAAGAGCCCTTTTATAAGCACGGGTGGGGAAAGGGAGGGCAAACGTTACAGTTACTTAACAAGCCAACCATGATTTATTACCTTTCACTAAAAGTAGCCTTGACATTTGGGGGTATAATTTTATAGGCCATACTTCATTCAAATTATAACATTCACTCAAATTAGTAACATTCAAATTATAAAGGGCCCACAGGAACTGCATAAACATTCTACAGTTGATTTTTCAAAAGAAAATTTTAAAAAAAATTTTTCTTACTGATCCTAGGCTTCACAGCTAGTATTTTAAATCTCCTTTTGTCATTCCCACCCACCCACCCACCCATTAAGTCACACCTGACCTTCACCCCCCGAAAAACCTGAGAAAGAATATTCCACAGCGTACGCGTGCACACACACAGGTGCGTACACTTAAAAAGGGGGCTGATGAGGTGCAAGAGAAATCCCAGCAAGGTCACAGACTTGAGCCATCGTTAATAGTCGAGAGCGCTAAATAACGAGGCAAACTATTTCCAATGAAAAATGAAGTAAAAACCTAATTCATGGCATAAGTTTTTTTGTTGTTGTTGCCACATAGCCTTTCCCATAGGACACAGGATATTTCAGGGCGACTCGTTCTGCCTTGGCCCAGTCAAAGGACTACAGAACTACTCAAAACACGGGTTTCCAGTGCAGGGTGGAACTGGAGGAGGCAGGTCACCTGGAGGACAGAGTTTCTACCCACAGACAGCCAGAACAACCGAGTCTTAGAAGTGCTGAACTCCGTTGTCAGGCAGGAAGTGCAGTCCGTTCATGAGACCCCCATCCCCACACTGTCCTGAGATACTGTGCCCAAAGTAACCTTCTCCATCGTCACTCCACCTCCCTCATTCTTCACTCCAGCCATGTCCCCGCTTGCGGGTGTTCAAGAGAGGGGGAAAATGGTCTCCAAGTTCCCAGCCTGCTCTAGTCACCTTTACAATGCAGCGCACGTTTATTCTGCCCCGTGTGCACAGTGCCACCCAGGAAACGGGACCTGAACCTAACAGCTCACTTAGACAAACGTGTGTACCAACCTCCCTCCCGTGCATCAGCCAAGAGACCATTAATCCCAGCAGGCCCAGCTGGGACCACACCAGGCCTGTCCACAAGGGACCTGCCAACTCAAACTCCAGCTGGATTCTGGAAGCTGAGCCTCCCTGCGAAACATCGCCACATGGTTGAGGAGAGTGTGGTGGATGGTTCCAAATAGAAACCACCTCCTCCGCGGCCAGAAGGATCCCGGTGTGCTGCCTGAGTGAATGCGGGTGAGCCCGGTTTGGTGAACCGCAGGGGGCACCCGCCTCAGCCAGATCCTTCCCATCCCACAGTACCTCTGGTCAGCCAGCAATCCCATTTTATTGTTCTAGCTCTCTTTGGAAAATAGCTCTGGTGCCGGGAATTCTGCAATGAGTTCACTGCAATGATGGGAAAAGAAGACCAAAGAACCAGCTCCCAGGGAGAGGAGCCGCACCTCTGAATCAGTCACTAAAAATGCAGCACCAGGAAACAACGCGGGGGAGCTACGCTGAACTGCCATCTTCATGAGTAGTTTCCTCCCCTGCTTGGTTTGGAGTTGTGCATATTAACAGAGGAAGCACAGTGTGCTCATGCCCTCAAAACCAGGCTAGTTTCTGCAGTGGCAGAGTGGTGTGTGAATACTTCAGAGTCAAAGTAAGATCTCTCTTTTGGTATCACGAACAGACTGCCTTTATAAACAATCTGGAGTGTGTCTGATTTGTTTGTTCATTTATTTGTTGAGACCACGGTACCCCCCCTACACTGATTATTAACAGGAAAAGATTTCTTGTGGGGGGTTTTTTCCAGTTTTGCGACCAATGGCACAGCTCTAACACCAGCAGACTTGGCAATGACCATAGTATGGATTAAATCCACGATCTTATCTCAAGCATTCTAAAGAGTTAATCATCCAGAAGCAAAAGTTCAAAATTCCCTGCATCGAGTTGTGATGGGTGGCCCGGGGTACCCAGTATTTCCGTTGTAAAGTCAGAAACTGAGAGTCGCTGTGCCTCCACACGCAGGGGTCACAGGAGGCACTGAGGCTCGCACTGAGGCATGGCAAATAGTCCTGAAGACGACTATGGGCAGACTCTGAAGCTGCTCGTCATGCAACCACATTCCAAAGGCTTTGGAAAATAAGCCCCTGTGCATTCGCTGGATAACTGCAGAAAAACAATTTGTGCGCCATCCACCTCTCCGCTGGTAGGCCTGGGATTTCTACAGCTGACACGTCTGTAATTAACCACCGCACCATCTTCGTTTCCTAGCCAACCTCTTCAAAAAAGGACAGGAAAAGAAACTGCAGACTAACATAGACCCAAGAAGCAAACCTCACAGCCAAGAAAAGTCACTCAGAATAAGCAAAAAAAAAAGACTTACAAGTTAAGACTGGGGAAACAATTTCACCTACAACTTCTATGTCTAGAAAGCAAACACTGGCATCAATTTATCTTGCAGAATTGACATGGCACTAATAAGATTTCATGTGATTATCATTATAGAGACAAAAAGCAATACAAATTCACAAGTCTCCCGGGCAGGCTACTTTTCAGTCGATTCTTAATCGAGGTCGACCACGTTAGCCCCCTGCACAATCAGACACACACAGATGTGGTTAAGCAGAGTATAAAATACAGCAAACGCCACCACTATCTGACAGGGTCAGGAAGTTCGGTGTTCTGTCTAATCAAATATCCTCATCATCACACTTCAGTGACCAACTCCCAAAATGAAAGCAAGCCACAGAAATATCCTTGACCTAAATTAGCTGTTCCTTGATGATAGGAAATATGTGTTAAGATTCCATATCTTTAAAACCCTAGCCATTGTGAAAATAGCAAAACATGGCATCTCTACCATGGCTGATAG